AATCGACATTGTTCAAAACTCAGCCTTCTGTTTGCTGATTGGCCCAGGTAAAATAAACTACAAGCAGACACTGCACAGAAAATCAAAGTTTTTTTCTCTGATTGGCCCGGACAAAAATTCTCCCGAAGAAATCCTTGTCTATGGGAGAAGTCCCAGACTGAGCAGTGAAGGGAAACTAGAATTGAGCGGAACTACGTAGGAAGGCAAGGGCCAGGCCAGTCAAGACCACAACAGTGGAAATACCATTAAATTGACAGAATATTGTCCAATTTATTTGTTAACATCTTTGCTTTCAATGGATGTAAAACACACCAATCTAAATCAAAGCGTGACTCGTCGCTAATTATGTATTTTTGTTATCGTTGTCACCCTTTCTCTTTCACTCGCATGTTGCACTTCAAGAAAGAGCAGTATTTGTCTGGGAGCGGGAGAAGACGTCAACAAAATATTCAGTTTTACATTGCAAATCATGAATATATTTGTAAACCAACACCCAGAAGAAAACATACAGCAACTTGTAAATTCTGCAGTGCCTTACTTTCAGACGGTGGGGACTACAACAAACTTTTGTACTTTTACACTAGTTTTTGTTGTTGTTGTTTTTTTCTGATCTTGGTCTTGACCCAGTCTCAACCCCTAAAAGACTTGTCTTGATACACTCTGGTCTTGGTCTTGGATTGGGTGGTCTTGACTACAACAGTACTGTTAATACCTGCTTTAACCTTTTTTTTTCCTTTTTGAAACACTCAACTTTGGCACAAAACACAGCTAAAGTTAATTCAGAAACCTGATGCATTTGGTAAACATGCAACAAGACACTTTGTTTCAAAAGAAGAAAAGAAAAAAGGCTAAAGTTTGAGGAAAAGTTGGACAAAAATCCTCTGAAAACAAAGCGTCTTTCCAGCAGCTCCCGACCTGTTCGTGTTAATGAAAGCTGCTCCACAGAGTTTTTCCCCGATCAATGAGAAGTCAGTCTCAGGTTAATTGCTCGGCCCACCACTAATGAACAGAAGCTATCCAGTTCTCTAACCACGAGCCGCAGTTGAATCCAACAACATATTTCCTCTGACATAAAGTCGTTCCGCTCGCTGCGCTGCATCACCATCACTGCCGTGACTGACAGGGTTACTCACTTGTCAATAGTAAAGATTTTGCGCACGAGTGCTCTTGTGTGCGTGGAGAGCACATTTCCAATGAGGCCGAGTCCATTCATACCTTTCTATTGATTCATTGATCCATTGATTTGTCTGCTAAAAGCTAATGATGTAAGTAAGTGACTCTTTTAATTTGCAAGAAGATGCACGCTGAAGGCATGCGAGGCTCCACTTTTAACAAAAAAACAGCATGCAGATTCTCAGAGACGAGGAGAATCGTCTGTAGGTCCAAAACCCTGCAAATAATAATAAAAAAAGATTGGAATTACCTGTGCTGTGTTATCCAGGACCTGCTTAAAAGCCTCGTAGGAAATCTGATTATCAGTCTGATTCTTCAGCCAGGAGTTTAGAGACTTTAACAAGTTCATCACCATGGGACGACCTGGGAAGTACTGCAGACATAAAAACATTAAAAACTGGGTTTAAGTGGATAATAAAGCAAACAAAATGGTTCTGTTTTCATTGTAAATAACACTGTGAAGATGTGTCTGTGCTTTAAAATATGGGGTGAACCAATTACAGTTTTCTTGCTGAGCATCAATCTTTAAAAAGCTGGACCTGCCGATACAGGTTGTTTTCATGACTGACACTGGCCATGTTTACATGTGCAAAATTCTTTAATCAGACTGAAATATATTCAGATTAAATAATCTGAATGTTTCGTTTATATGGGCACAAATTTATTCAAACCAACCATGATTAGCATTTACTTGGCTTTTATTCAGAATAGAAGCACTGACATACGCAGAGCTGTAAACTTTACCTAAAAAGCAACACAAAAGAAGAAGTTCTAATTCCATGATGAACACAAGTGTCTTCTGAACGCCCAGTACGGACACATGCCAGGTTTTAATAATGGCAGGAATGTTGCTGCACTCCCTGATTGAGCTATAGGTGAGGCAACGTGTGCTTTTAAAAATATATATTAGCGAAGCAACATATATGGTTTGTCCTTCTTCTTTACCGGATGAGAGAGTGGGAGGAAACATTCTTGAAAGTTCTGTGCTGCCAGCAACTATAGCACTGCTGCCCATCCCTCTAACTAGAAACCAGTGGATGAAAATCAGAAGTCGTCCATTTTCCACAGCTAGAATAGCATGATTAGATTGTGTTTACATATACAGTACACCGTTCAGATTATCAATCGGCATAAACCACCCCTCTCATAACAAATTCATTCAGACTGAGCTGAATCAGATCAGAATATTCAGATTCAGGTGTTAACATGACAGATTTTTATTCAGATTGGCTGTTTATTCCAATTACTAACGTCCATGTAAACATAGCTATTTGAAACAATACAAACTTGTTTTAACTGGACAACAGCCGTCTCTCACAGCACGGCACAGAGGGACAGTAGCTAATTTTCTGACCTTTGCGTAGGTGGATAAGGTCGACTTCTTGTGTATGTATCGTCCGATTGCCGATCTTCCAAGATTAAAGGGGCGATATTATGTGCTTTCTAAGCCTATATTTCAATTTTATACTAAAATAAAGTAACTATGTCACATTTTCAGCTTATGAAAGAGCTACATATTTGTAAAAATCCCCAAAACAATTTACTTCTCATCTTGACAGTTTCTAAACGCCTTGAAATAGGTCTCTGTCTCTTTAAGAAAATCCAACCACTTTGGCCACGCCCATTTCAGCACGTAGCCTGCCGGAGTCACGGAGCGGGTGTGTGTGTGTGTGTGTGTGTGGGGGGGGGGGCTCCACCATGAGCAAGTTCGGCTTAAAGACGCATCCCAGAGGAGGCGCTTGTCCCAAAAGGTGTTTCTGGTCCCCACCTGTCGTTTTGCTCCTCAGCATGGCTGCCTAAAAACACTGCAGGATTTCTCAAACATGCATGAATGAGTCAAAGCAAGGCTTTGGGCATGATTTTTATGAGAGGATAACATTGTAACATGRTATAAAACTCAAAAAAGTTGATTTTACATGATATTGCCCCTTTAAAGGAAATTGGGGCAGATTTATTGGGGCACCCCTACTTTAAAATGCTTAATCGAACAAAAGAAATGTTTTCACTTTAATGACATTCCAACTATTAGACTGCATCGGCCATTTGTTTTATTTTTTTTAAGTCCAATGAATCAGACCAGTACAAAAGTCTAGTAAGTTTTTCCAGACATGGAAAGTTCTCAAACTCTCACAGATCTACTATCAACAGTTTATTTTAGTTAATAAGTGAATAAAATGTCAAAAGTCAACTGTTCACCTAACAGCATCTTTATTTGCAGATCTGGATTTTATGCTACGACGACGTCTTGCAACGCTTATATTCTGCACAAAAGGTTGTGGTTTGAGTGTTTTCTCTCCTCAGTGCCTCCAAAAACTTCAGTAACTGTAAGAAAAGCCGAGCCTAAGCCTCTTCCTTCATTAAGAGTCACCTCCTAAGCCACAAACAGCCACTTAGGCACTCCCTGCTCAGGCTTTCTCCTCGTGTGTGTTTACTCCTCGTCCAGCCGCCGTCGCCACGACAACAACCACAGCTGGAGGAAATGCGATGCTGTAACTAGCAAGATGGGAACACAAACAGGAGGAGGAAATCCAGCCGATGGCTGCCTGAGATCGGTGATGACAGACTGGAGACGTCTGAACACACAGGCTGTGGCAGCAGACACAGCTTCCGTCAGACAGGAAAGAAAAGTGGACCGCTTTAAGACATCCAGCTAAGTGTCCTTTTCAGAACCACAATAGGCCTCCACAAGGGTTCGGTTTCTCTGAAATCCCCAAAGAACTGGGATTAAGCTTGTTTTCCAAAACAGAACATTTACATGGTAACTTTGTGATTTGTTTAACCAAGTTTTTATTTTTTTAGGATAAAGAAACCAAATCCTTCAATAAATACCACTTGCCTATTCTGTTTATTTGTATTGTTAATATTATCACTACTCTGTGATTTTCTTGTAATCTTTTAAAGTGGTCCCGATCAAGAGCTCTTCAAAACATTTTTGGAAGATCTCTGAAAAAGCAGCCAGAGTCCAAAGAAACTTTCACATTTTCAGTCCTCAAACCTGGCAGTGTGTGCTTCAACATGAGGATTGTGGATGAGTAAAGAACAAAAGACAACTTGTCAGGCCTACAAAAAACACCATCTACAGACTCTGGAAGTCATGTCTTAGTAAAAGAAAACCAGCTAATACCTGACAGGACAAGTGTTTGTCTGTTTTCAGCTAACAGATCTTCAATCAGTACCTTAAACTGCAAGCATGTTTTAAAGACAAATACCTGGATGAATTTCCTGCTTCTAAACCCAGGCAGACAGAGGTTATGGTTTTTGGACCTGAATATCTTAGGGATCAAATTTGCAGCCTTTCACTTCCTCTGGATGGCATTAATCTGGCCTCCAGTTTTAATGTAAAGAACCTTGGTGTTATTTTTGGTCAGGAAT